ATTGCCCCGCAACAGGTCACTGCAAAAAAAAAACACCACTGAGGGGATTTAATTAACACAGACGCCTCCTTCCTCCCATCCTCCTCCTCCTCCTCCTCGCTCCTGAGTCGTTTCAAGCTGCTGATATCACAGCTGAGATGGGAAAACGTTTCCAGCAGAGGCGCGGGAACAGCGGGCGTCGCTCCGGATTATCTGAGGACAAACCACCTGCTCGTTCAGGTGACGCTGGGATGTCCCAGTGGAAAACGAGCCAAGTCCCAGCTGATCCTTCATCCCACCCACCACCTCGAGCGTTTTTTGGAAATGCCAAGACTCAGTTTAGGGTGATTTTTATACCGGCAAGGAAAATAAACACCCCGACCCAGCAGGGAAACCCCTCGAGATGGGCAAGTTTGTGATTTTTTGATTAGTTAAAGGAGATTGTCCCTAAACTCCAGTGTTTGGCACCGAGCTCACCCGTTTCCCAAGGTACACCTTGAGCTTCATCATGTCCTGCCACCACCGGGTCCTGGTGTCACCATTCCTGCCAGAAATGGGGTTTTTCCCCCAAACTGGGGGAGGTGAGTTTGGGCACCTCCTTAGAACCCGGCGGCTCCCGGCTTTGCCGTGTATTGTGGCGTGGTGGGAATGAGCAGGTTCCCAAGACCTTGGTTAACTGTGCAAACGGGCAAAGGCATCGAGAGCCACCCAGGAAGGGCAGCAGAGGGTCTGGCAGCACCGTGAGATGGAGACCTCTGGTCTCTTCCCTCCTCCTGCCCCCATTCCTGGTGGATGGGGATGCGTTTCCCGCTGTGGAGACAACACGAGAGCAGCTCCAGCCATGAAGGTGCCAGGGGAGATTCCAGCATTCCCGGGCCCAGCCGAGCTGGATGAACGGGCAGAACGGGTGCTGGGGAAATGGGCTGGCTCCCTGGCTCACTTTGGCTACCAAACCACTCCGGGAAAAGCAGCAGGACGTGGGAATCAGGGCACACCCCTGGCTCGGCTGTCAGCATCACCGGGACCAGCCTGGGGTGGGCAGGGACACCCCGGGAGCACCTGGATTCCCAGGGGAATCTCACTGCTGCCCATCCCAGCTCTGGTACCTGGATTCCCAGAGGAATCTCACTGCTGCCCATCCCAGCTCTGGTACCTGGATTCCCAGAGGAATCTCCCTGCTGCCGATCCCAGCTCTGGTACCTGGATTCCCAGGGGAATCTCACTGCTGCCCATCCCAGCTC